TAATGATCAATGTGTCTAAAGCAGGTACTGGTGGTGGAGAGCTGAATTTAGAATGTAATTGAAAGTTCAGTTGAGAAGACATTAATTGGTAGAACCTGAATTTGGGAAGTATATATATGTACATCATTCAAGTGTTTACTGAAAGCATTTGGAAATAAATAACAACACAACTTCCTTCATGTTATGGCCAACCGAAGACCATCTTAATGGAGAAGATTCAGCTAATTATTTTGCATCTTTTGTTCTAATGAGTGCTAAACAGAGAAAGAAGGGCTATGGTTTATATACATAATAGAACATTCATTTTCGGCTGCAAATCTTAAATGGTTTTTGAAGTCCAGATGCTTCAATGTTCTGATGTAGCTATGGATGAATGAGACTCCACCGGTATTGACCCGAGGACTTGGACATCCTCATATGGACATGACTTGACATCCTGGTATAAGTCATACATCCCTCTACCTGAAATCAACATTACAATTTCAAGGTTTCAGTAGATGAAAATTTGAAGATGATAGATGAAAATGATGCACAGTTCATTTCCTTTCCAATGAATAATGTATCATATGTTATGCTACAACTGACGGTAGACAAATGAATGAAGAAAAAAAAATGCAAAACAACATTCATGCTCTAAATGAGATCACAATGTAAAAATACAATTTATCCTAGCTGAATGCAAGCGAGGCCACAGCTTCTTCAATGGAGAGAAGAGGGACTGCAACCACCCCATTGGGAAAGAACGGAGTGCTTCATGTTAGGTGACAGAAAGGAAGAATATAAAAGGAAAAGTTTACAGAGAGAGAGAGAGAGAGAGAGGAACAGTTGCTTTGCTTGGACAATGGTGGATTATAGATTACTGTATCTGGACAATTCCCCCCTTTGGCAGCCGTAAGATGCTAAAAAACTAGTTTTATTTGGTAACATGTCTTTTCATCCTTCTTCTGGCAGATCCCCTTTTCAAACAATTCCAAGACAAGTGTACTCTTCAACCCCTAATACTTCCTCCCTTACACCTTCTAGCAACTATAACTATATGTTCATCTTGACCACAGATTCTTGGTAGACATTGACCTATGAAGTTACCATTTATACTCTTTTGGTCCATCTCTTCTTGTTACAATGAGAATATAAATGATTTTTCCGGGTTTGAAGAGATAAAAACCCAGGGTTTGTTTATTCCAGGATGATTGACCCAAAAACAAAACTTTGTAACCAGTTTTATCTATTTATATTCCAATCTTTCTAGGGTCATGACAAGATATTATTTGTATGAATCATCAATTGATCAAGTAACTAGGAAGAAAATGATCAAAACATCACTAAAAACTGAAATTTTTTTTAGTAATAATAAACCTTAATACATAAAGTTACTAAATATCCTGTTTCTCCTTCCCAAATTTTGCATTTTAACTTTCTGGTATTGAGAAAGTAACTATGGAGAAAATGATCAGAGATTTACCAAAAACTGAAAATTTTAGTAATAACCAAATCACATGAAAAGGGACTAAATATCCTGTTTTCCCTTCCCAATTTTAAGATTCTGGTTTACCATGCATTTCTTGAAAATCTAAAGAGATTTTAAAACCATAATTGTAATAAATTCATTCTTCACAAAAATGCCTTCAGGCATGGTGGGTTTTTCCATGTTTCCTATAATGTTATGCAAAATGTGCTCCGAGGAGGCTTTGAACTTTCAGTAGACAACATAAGATTGACTTATCTTATGAAGAAAATTTTTGTCAAACTATGTAATTTTATGCTCCAAAAAAAGGAATCTATGTCATGAAATGCAGAAGGCTAAATAAAGATTTGATGCTACAAAAAAGGCATTATGTGTTGAAATGCTGAAGGCTAAATAAAGATGAAGATGAGTGATTGCTTGCACAATTTTACCTCTTATCATATGAGAAAACAAACAGACAGCTTTGAAGTAATGAAAAATCATCCTAAAATTTAAGCATTCAGCTTATTACCTAGGATATATGACCGCACAGATGAGAATCAGGATGAATATAAGTATGACTGATCCGAGCAGTACACAGACAGTCCAGAAAGCATTCTGTAGCAAACTCATTGACGTAGTACTGTATTGCTTTATCTGTTTATTAACACAATAAGAGAGAAATATAATAAGGAAACTAAGAGAAAATTGAGACTCAAATGGTAAACTAGGCTGCTAAAATATAAAATATACACCTGCACTTGGCCTTTTTCACTGTCTGACTGTGTGAAGAAAGAAACAAGAGATACTGCAGTCACAGCTCTGAAGCATAAATTATATGATTCAGAAAGAAGTATCCAAGCAATTACCAAAACTTACAATAAGAGGTCTAAGCATCTCGGGATCATCTTCGGAGATTGAGGCTTTCATTTGATCTGCATCACAAGGTCAGAAACTTCACTAAATTAAGAGCAAACCAATTAGACTAGAAGCACTTAAAGGAGGCCTTCCCACATGTCATGCAGTGAGTTTAAAGTTTAAAGGTAAGAATAACAGAATATATGAACAGAACAAATAATTCTACATTGGAAAGTTAACCATAATAGGGATGATCCTGTGATTAATAGAAGAGAATTTTAAATCTTAATCTCATAAGAGGTTTGTTTTACTCAGTGTAGGTTAATTCCAGTTCAGCAGTCTTTGAACTTAAGCGTCCATGAGAGTATACCCAATGAGTATTAATAGCATATGATTTGAAAGAACTTGCTCTTTTCTCCATGAAATAAAAACTTAAAAGCAAATGGGAGGATTAGGAAAAGATAAAAAGGTCAAAGAAAAATCAGTTTGCAGGCAACCAGTACACAACAAGGGGTGTGATGATGCAATCTAAATCATTATATCTTAATCTTTCTTAAGTTGCAAGTAACCAATTGTCTACTCCATGATTTTCTCATTATACAAAATAGATTTTGCTAAAAGCGTGTACACTGTTTAATCTTACATTAGATTTTAGAGTTTACCTGGCTCATCCCTGTTGACAGTTCTGATATTTTCCACAGTACATGCAGTAGGTAAGCTTTCTGGCCTGCAAAGAAAGAACATTCATACACTAAGTGAATAGAAGGTTTGCTATTAAACAATGATCAACTGGTACAGGTCATATTTCCTAAGAAAATACTAAACTAACCCATCTCCTTTTATTCTGTCTCCATTGAAAAAGCCCTATTGCAGGGGCTTCCCACTGATTACAATGGTCACAGGCAATTATGACTGTCTTAGCTTTTTATTTTTTGTTTTTTGTTTTTGATGATGAGCAAGATTCTCTTAGCTTTACTACCATAAGAACCAGAAATTCTGGCGTTGGATTCTCTTAGTAGTCTACATCTTAGTATCAATAAAATTTAGCAAAGATTATAGCTTCCGTGTCTCTTGATCCAAGATATATTTATCAAGCGGTTTCCCAATTTACGTGTACTAAAAATTAACAATAGGAGCTCAAAGATCAAGGAAGGAGTAAAGATGCCTGATGCATCTATTGAGGATATGAAGCTGCTCTTAGTAGAGCTACAGATATGAGAAAAGACATTGTAAAATGAACAAGCCCGTTACTTGGATCAATCAACTGGTAGCTAGCGCAGGTCAAGTAAAGGAGGCAAGAGAACAGACATACCTGTTTGGAGATGGTATTGCATAAAGACTTAGAGCCAGTACTCTTGTTCTTAGCTGGATATCGGATAGCATCTTCCACCGATATTCCAAATCTTCATTAGTTCTGCAAATGCACTGCAAGAGAAAATCACTCATGCAAGCAGATACCAATTAAAAATGTTCTGACATGATCTTCTGTTTGAATTGTCTATGAGGGGGTAAAGGGACGAGGAGAAAGATCAAACCTCCATTGGTGAAGCACTAAAACTTTTGATTTTAAGAGAAAAATCATCTGAAACAGACAGTGATGAATCCATCTTTTACCTTATATATATTATCTCAAACCTCCTACTGAATGCAATTTCAAATTTGTAAAAAAGAAAAGAAAGAAATTGAACATACAAGATGGGTTTTGAGGGGGGGTTGCGGAGGAGAGATTCAAGTCGATCAACCTTGACCCCAACTTCAAAAAGCTTAGATCGAGCAATCTCCGTAAGGCGTAAGTTTTCATCTTCTTCTTCTTCTTCTTGATGTGGGTTCTTGTTCTTGACCCTTGTTTCTACATCTTCCACCAACTTTAATGCCTCCTGAGCTTCCCTCATCCAGGCATCCACCATTAAAGATTGCTTTTGCATCTCCCTCCAAACAAAAGAAAACACTCCTCCCTGGAGAGAACGACGAGACACAAAGCTGAGAGGAACGAGAACAGAGTCCACGCCTGAGTGCACAAAGATAACAGCAACCTCTGAATCTTCTTTACAAGATTGGTTTTCTCTCTCCATTGCCCAATCACTTCCCTGTCCGTTAATTTTGTCCTAAAAGGCTAAAACGACAAAAAACGTCAAATGGGTAAATTGCCCCCAAAATTATTGTAGTTAAGCAAATCAGTATTTAAACCAAAATTACATAATTTATCACTTTAAATTTTTATTTTAAAAAAATTAAATTACATTTAACAGTTGCAATTAAATTTTATTAAATTATTATTTTTGAAGTCTAATAAAAAAGTAACACAATTATTAAATTTAA